ACATAAAAATTTGATTTTAATTTTACCGTTTAGAATATCATTTCCTTGAAATATTTGGATTTTGTACAGCAAAATTCGTTTGTTGCATTTTTATATATATGTAAATTAAAATTTTTGAGTGTTCGTTGTTATAATTTAAATATAGTACTAATGAATACAATTTGAGGGGGTATGTATACCATTTGAATAAAGTTTGTGTTAAATATTGGGCGGCGTTTTTATTCAATTTTCAACAGAAACGCGTAACATAATCGAATTCATTCACTGTTGTTATATGTCCAGTGGCAAATATAACAGTTATATCGGCAGTGCAAATAAACGGAGTTAATCTTGAAATAAATGTTTAAATGAAATTAAAAGGTAGTTGTCCACTAAAGTTAAATACATACAAAACGGAATCCAGAAATGCTTTTAATCATGCGGATTTTTGTTTCTAAAACTTTTTTGCTTCCTTTCTGATAATATAGGGAAGAATGAAAAATACTTTCAGTTTGCTTGTATTGCTATTCAAAAAAATGCATAAAAGTTTTGTTCGTTGTAATTCGCAAAGAGAAAGACGAAATATTGGGTTATGCATGAAATACTGTTTTCTTGCTCCATTTTATTTCATCGAATAAAATGGTTTGAAATATAGAGTCACATTTTGTTTTCGATATGACTTAAAATCGAGCACACCGTTATTAGTTAAATAACCTATACTAGAGTGTTACATACCTGGAAATTCATTCTAGTTGTACCATTTCACTTTTCACAGACGATTCTACATCCAATATTTATCAAACGAAAAACACACATATAATCCATTAACATATATGCATAAATACTAGATTTTTTTTTAACTCTCCCGAAATACCACTTAAAGACACAAATAAATATCCTTTCAATCCCACTACAAGAAAGACGTGCGTATCCAATGACTTTAAATATAAATCTGAATGAACTTTATTCAAGATCTTTTTATAGTAATTATTCTACTGTTCATAAATACTTCGTTAAGTGAGTAGATGGTCAGCTTGATCTTAAATTTTGCCTGCGGATTCTTTGGTACAACACGGGGAAAATGAAAAGAAAATCATTACAAAATTAAATAAAATTCTTTAAAATGTTATAATCTGAAGATTCGTTTTTAATATTTCAGGTGTATTTTAAGTTAGCGAAAGTCAAAATAACTGTCCATTCCTGGGAAATAATGGGCGTCGCCCATTATTTACCAGGAATGGCCAGTTATTTGGACTTTCTCTATACCATAATATCGGTTAAATTGAAAACTGAAAAAGTAAAAGTGATAGCTTAATAATATGTTAATGATTAAAGGAGGAAATTTTTCCAAAACATACACACGCATAAACTGCGTGTTAAATATTGTTATGACCTTTTGAACAGTGGAAGTTGACACTTCTATAAACAATATCCTCAAGTGGTTTACACACATCATTTAATCGGAAACAGTTCTAATTCGATTTCATAAAATGTACTCCGCACGTAATTTTTTTCAATTAGTCTCGACCATGCTTTCATACATTTGCCGCTTTTGTTTCGTTCTTATGATGCGAAATCTTCTTTTGAATCCCGGTAAGTGTGCATGTAACATACCGTTTTTGATTGTTATATCAGATCGTTGGATGAGATATAAAGAGGATTTGAAAGGGACAAGCTTTAGTATAGATAACTTTGGGGAATGCAATATATATTTACACTGTAAAAATACTTACTTCTAATACTTTTACTTACACAACAACTTCCTTTAAATTCTTCATTCAATGGACACTAGTCATTTGGGGGCCCTTTATAGCTTGCTGTTCGGTGTGAGCCAAGGCTCCGTGTTGAAGGCCGTACTTTGACCTATAAATGTTAACTTTTGTCTATCGTTGGCGTTTAGAAGGGATAAAGTGTTGAAGAAGAATCAGGCAGACATTTTTTTTTTTCGGATGAGTAAAATTTTCGTTTTTGAATATATATTTCTTTATAGTGTGAGAAAAACTCTATCACTTCTTGATTTGAAAGTGAGTTTATTTTGTCGATATATTGCTGCCGTATTGATTTGATTTTTCATGTTTTTATGGTAAGAACACTTTTCCGTATCCAATATAATGAAACTCTATACGTCTGTCATATAAGTGAGTTGTTTAGCTAGCGATAAATCAGGTTTAATCCACCATTTTCTACATAAGGAAATGCCCGTACCAAGTCAGGAATATGACAGTTGTTTTCCCTTCGTTTGATGTACGTGTGTTTGAGCTTTTAATTTTGCCATTTGATAAAGGACTTTCCGTTTAGCATTTTCCTTGGAATCGGTATTTTTGTTATTTTACTTTTTTGTGTCTTCTTTTTTTCAATTGTGAAAAACATTTTGTTAAATAAAAAAGTCACTCTTCATTAAGGATAATTTTAAGAAAGGTTCATAAAGGATCCTTAGGACAGTAAAACATTAAACTGTCGTTAGGTTGTTGTCTAATTGACATGCAACTCATACATAGACCATAAGCGTTAAAATACAATGATTTATTAAGAAAATTCAAGGGATGTACATGAAACAGCACGGAATCAAGGAAAATGACTTTCAAAGGGTTATTTATGTTTTCGTTATCACTGTGTATATTGCATTGTTTACTTCAGTGAGATGAGCGTTTAACTACTGGTGAAATTAATAGTGCGCATGTAAAAAGGTTAAATCTAGCCACATGTTGTGCCTTCATTGTTATTTTGTATTCGTTTTGAAGGTCTTTGTTTCAGAAGAGTCGTGTATTGATGGGTTAACTGTTGTTCTATCAAATATATCTGTTAATTCCTGTTATCATTTTTATGCAAAGTGTCCTCTCCCTTTTCAGCTGTCATACACATGGATCATGATTCAAGGAGAGTGACTTAAAAAGACTTTATCTGATAGTCATCAATTAACATGATTAATTCAAAGCATAAAACCGTCCTTAAAGTTAGAACAACTACACGAACTGTCACAATCATTGCAATGTATATTAAAAGTCACATGATCCTTCACATTTATAAAATTAGATGAATATGTTTTAAATACTTAAATGCTTAATTGTTACTATAAAATGTGTAAATAGACTTTCTTTTAATAGAAAGTCCTTTGTCTTATCCAAATCTTTCGAAATGTACTGCTATTATATCATTATCTTCCCATACTCCTATTCGCCGACAGCTTTTCCGTATGAAGTGACCAGACCCACCTCTCATTAGACATTCTGCAATCGGACAGCGCACGTGTAAAGGGGGAAATTCTGATAGAAGTAAAAGTAAACAATAGAAAAACAAAGGATATGCGGTATCCATCCATGAGACAAAATCAGTACATGCACAGCAAAAACACACATAAAGCAAAGGAAGAGCGCTTTTATAACTGTTCTTCATCTCAAAGTCACTTGAGGCCTTCAACACAGAGCAAAACAACTCTCATTTCACTGCAAGTTTTAGCATGGAAGGAAGATCGTATTAACCGATTCTGAGTGAACAAATTTGATAAACCAAATCATTTCACAACCGGTATTCAAAGTTTAAATAACACATTAGAACGCATGGAACTATAAAACAAGAAATAAACACCGCCCTATCATCTAACTATACGTGCTCCATGAGTATGTGTTGATTGTGTATCAATGTCACGATCGGGAAACTTGATACAAAAACATCAAGTTAATAAGCAGCCAAGTTTTTGATCAACAATCACCGAATGAAACATTTTTGTCGATTTTATGATATGAATTTATAGTTCATAATGCAAATGTAAAACATGCACATGGGAAGTAGTTTAGTATATATGGATACCTTGGTTCAATGGTTTCGAAAAATTATAATCACCAGAAACTGGTTTAAACGACTTAAAAGGACATTAGGTGTATACGGTTTTTCACGTTATGTGTTGATGTGGTTGATATATATATCCTGTCGCACTGATTGTGAACCGTTAACCAAAATAAAACAATCTCTAACATGTATTTGTATATTTAATTATAACGTAAATAAAAGAGGTGATATTACAATTCTTTGAAAGTCATACTTATCATTTTGTTTGTTTTGTATTGTATAATGAACATATTTTTAGTTAAGTTGTATCTTTATAGCAGCCGAAATACAAACAACCAGAAACATAGTAAGGTACCCGAATGCCATCTCGGAATATTCATCTTGGACCAAAAACATAAAAATTCCAGATTCTACAAACGTGAATGCAGTTCCATCCCGAAAAAAAATAGATGTATCTCCCTGGATTACTTTTGCAGGTATCACACCAACTCGGCTTTGGTCATAATAATATTACTCTGATAAAACTAGATCAATGCGACAGTTAAAACAATAGAGGTAGAACGCCTTCATGACTTTGGCAAACTGAAAGAACAGCAGTGGTTTTTATGCTATTGTAAAACGTGGTTAACCTTTCTAACAACAAAACTTATTTTACTTATTAAAACCAAACAATTAAAAAAGAAGCGTCCAAATAGTAACTGAAACTTGTGATTTAGTCATAAAATAATAAAAAATAATTTACAGAAAGTTAACTCATTTGTATATCATTACATCTTTCCACTTGTCTGAAAGACGTAATGTTATCTCTATTAAGTAATATATCGTACCATAGGAAAAAAATAGATAGTCAAACAAATAGAGTGTTTTTTTGTTATCAAACTGGTATTTAAAGTAATGTTGATAGAACGATATTAAAAAATAACTTGTTCAGCAAAAATCTAAACATTTATAATGTGTTGCTTTGGTGTACATGTATCAATAATGAAATACAATCTGTGTTATCATTCCATTAGCTTAAATAGGTTAATAACCAAAAAAGGACATAAAAGTAATTGTTGCTTGAATTTTCATATACAATATGATAATCTTGTTCATGATATGTTATGTATATCTCATCATTCAATTTTTAAACTAAAAATTAGAATATTATTAGGTATACTAATTGCATTATGGCAAAGACTGATAAAATACCATATCTGTTGACTATTTCTTGTTTTTGTTTTTATTATATTTTCATATTGTAAATACTATGGTTGTGGATATGGAAGTTTTGACAGATATTACACACAGACAAAGGTTAAAGAAACTTTTCGACGATTGTTTCAAAACGATTCACTTCGCGCAGAAAACAAGTATGACTGTGCTCTCAAGTGTTCATCATATGAAGGTGCTAATTATAGTGTATACTTTGTGAGTATATAGAAAAATCACCTAAAATCTGTACTTCTCTCAATTTTGATCTCATTTACCCCTTTTGTCCTTATTAGTTATTAAATCATATTACTGAATGATCGGTAGTTTAAGGCGCCATTTCTGGGGATTTTTTTTTTTTGAGAGTTGCGAACGTTTTTTTTTTTTTTAATACCTTTATATATTTTATGGATAAAGATGAAGGGAGCATAACCATGTCCAAGGGGAAACGATTACTTGAAATAAGAATCGTCAAAGATATAAAAATAAGAAGATGTAGTATGATTGCCAATGAGACAACTCTCCAGCAGTGTCCAAATGACATAGAAGTTCACAACTATAGTTCACCGTACGACATTCAACAATGACCAAAAGATTCGTTTATTTTTATATTGAAATTCATTAATTGCGTCTGATTTCAAACGATATCAAATTCTCTAAAATCAAGTGGACTAACTATGGGCCTTATTGTCTATATTACTTTGTTTTAATTTGTATTATATATCAATCAGAACATCTCACAGGCTTCAGTAAATACCATCGATCACAAGTCTCGCTGCAATTAAGACATGTAGGTGTTCGAAGCTCATATATAGGATAAAACTATTGCACGTTTTTTCTCCTCAATAGGAAAGGATTTCTGTTTACACTCTTAGTTACCGATGAAAATCATTTTAAACAGTGGATATGCAGCGCTATTATTTTTATTCAATAAAAATGGCATACATATTGAATATAACATGAATGATCACTGAAATTACAATTGTAAATAAAAAGTAAACCAGGACATTGCATTTAAAATCATTAAAATGTGTTAATTCGTTTTTAAAGATCACCGGAATTACATATTTTTTCTCTATATAACGATATTGAACGATCTCTGAATTAAAAACGAAAAAGTAGTTTTCTAAAAATATTTTCCAAAACTATATATTTTTTTTTTAAATCGACTCCAGTATACGCTTCCACGCCAAAATGGTAATAATACATAAAGGATAAATGGATAGTTGTTTACTTCAGATGCTTGCATCTAGTGCGTTATCCAGTGAGTCATTTGATAGATGTAACAACATTGTCGATGTTGCAATCAATGTATTGCTTTTTGGCACTCCCTATGACCAGTTACAAATGTTGTAGTTCAAAATTTAAAATACGAGAAATAATGTAAGTTTCGGTGTTGATTTAACTAAAAAAGACATTAATCTCTAGATTCAAGTATAATATAATGTGGATTAAATTTCGAGATACACCGTCACATTTCTAATTATAAGTCTTTGCAACTCTCTTTTTAGAAAACGATTTGTCAGTGTATTGTTAATCTGACTACAAATCTGGACACAACAACCAACTACTGCTTAGAGGAGTGTACATTGTTTTATGACCTTTACTGTCAGGGTGATCCTGGATTGTTATTCTTTGCAATTGAAAGAAAAAATACAGGCAAGACACGTATGTCTTTGTAGTATAAGAAAATAACGCTTTATAAGCTTGGTAATAATACTTATAATCAGTCTGATTGCTTGTAAAATACAAAAAAATGTGCAATCTTTTCAATTATTTTTTATAAACATTAGTTTCCATGTTAAATAAATAATTAACTTATTTTGAATTTCATTTTTAAAAGGAGAAAAAGAAGGTCAAATAGAAATCAATAATATTGACGCTTAGCATCACATATAAGAGAAGAATAACTCAAACGAAGGAAAATTTCAATTTAATTGATAAAAAGTCGTGTTGATGGAGAGCTATGTTATGTTGTTATCTGGATGTTAAAGGTGAGACGGTAGTATTTCCTAGGCAATGGGATCTTGATACATGTAGCCTTTTTAGAAATTTCGCCACTTTCAAACACCGACCCAGAAGCTACACACACAATTAACCGAAGTACTTTCATTATAATATTCGGAATATGTATGAAGACCGTTTACTTTTTCTGCTATATTGATAACCCTAAGGTGACTAGTGCTTTTAGGTCTTTTGTCAAGCAGTGAATACAAAATTTAAAACAATTCTCAAAACTTCGTTTTCACCTGTATGTAAAATCATTTCATATTTGTGTACACCCGATTCGTCCCTCAGCGTGGGAAAATAGTTCAGTAGATGCTGTATATTTTGTCCAATCAAATTGTTCAGACACATTGACCTAAGTAGGGTACTCAAAAGAACAACCTAGTTCCCGAAAAGTAAATACTACTGTGCCACCTTGCAAGTCTTATGCAGATAGTTAGACGTTTTATATTAAACTTCTACGAGTTTTTGATTTATTATCTAAGTTATTACAGTTTTCTATTCTATTATTACTATAAACTCATAATGTCTATGATATTGGTATTGTTTGAATGTACCATATACTGAACAGCAGCTGATTTGTTAAATTCTATTTACTTAGTTGAAACGGTAGAAAGACTTAATGTGTCTGTGTTTGATGTGTATAATTTGACATCTTTGAATTGCCTTGCCATAGCGAAAGGTATATATAAAACAAAGCAGATGGCATATTGCAAACGTAAAATGAGGAATATTTATTGTGATGGTATTGATAACAGCATCATATTCCGAATTAGTAAGTATTCGTATTCCGTATCAACATGTATAATTACCTGTATTTTATAATTTGTAATTACCGCGAAAATACTAGTCGAATTTGTTAATTCATTCAGATACGATTGTTCATATCATCATGCAAGTTTCTGTATGCACCGTTGTTTATCTCAGTTAAGACTATTAAATCTTAGAAGACTACCAGGCATAGTCGATAGGTTAGTAACGTAAGTAAACTCAAATATCGTTAGTTACTGATATGTTTGTTCTGAAGTAATAAATGATTTACTATGTATATTTTTCATTGTGATCCAATTACATCTGTCTTTATTGTGTTTGCAATTTACAAATGTGCTTATCAAGACAAATTATTCAGAAAATAAAGCAATTGTACGTGTAACTGTGCTTTGCGTTGTGCAAGGTTTTCGTACTTCCGGCAGTAATCTATCGCATGAGAACTTAGACGCAAGTGACGATTCTCAATGAACATGATAAAGTACAACACCTTTTGAAATCGTTTCCGATACAACGTTTAACACTTAAAAAAGCAACTACAATTTCTTCAATAAATATGTGTAAATGCAAACTGTATATTGTAAAGAGGTTAATCTCAATAAAAAAATTTAAAAACATTCTAACTTCCGATAATGAAATATCCTTAAATACAATCTTATTTCAGGGAATAAGTATTTACAATGGACTTGTAGTAAGGAGCAAGATGTTAGTGGGAAAAAATACTTTAGAGGGATATCACGAACAATTAACGGTGTGTATTTATTATTTGGTTAGGTTTGTTTTAATTTGGGTTTTTATATTACTCTAACTGGCATATCTCTCGTTGTGAATGATCGAGTAGCTGTCCAAGCCTACATGTACATATAAGATTAAACATAATGCTACTAGATAGTGGAATGGGAAAAAACACATTTGACTTAGACTAAACACGATGAAAAATGATGTAAAAATAAACTTGGGACCTACACTTTCGATTTTATTTCTACAAAATATCTCAAAAGATCTTTCCTACACCACATTATATACTTGTATTTCAATTTTCATCAAACAGATCACTTACAATGCCTTTCAAATTCGTACTTCATTTGGCCTTTCTAACTTTTTTTATTCGAGGGTAACTGATGAGTCTTTTGTAGACGAAACGCGCGTCTGGCGTACAAAATTTTAACCCCGGTACTTATGATTAGTTTATAAACACCTTTATGAATACTGTCGTTTAATTCTTTGAAGTTAGGCACTATTTAAGCTTCATGAAATCAGCTAACAGTACAAGTTTTCGTAAATATCTAGAAATAAACTCATCATAGATACCAGGATTGAAATTTAGTATTTGCGCCAGACGCGCGTTTCGTCTACGAAAGACTCATCAGTGACGCTTGAATCAAAAAAAGTTAAAAAGGCCAAATAAAGTACGAAGTTGAAGAGCATTGAGGACCAAAAATTCCTAAAAGTTTTGCCAAATACTGCTTAGGTAATCTATTCCTGAGGTAGAAAAGCCTTAGTATTTCAAAAATTATTCAAAGTTTTGAACAGTTAATTTATAATTATGACCATATCAATGATAATTCATGTCAACACAGAAGTGCTGACTACTGGGCTGGTGATACCCTCGGGGAATGACAGCCACCATCTGTGGTCTCCAACCCTGAGTTAATTTACTTGTCGTATATTGCAGATTCTGAATAAACTGGTTGCTGCAGTTAAAATGCAACAAACTGACAATAAATATGCTGTTTGCTTTTAAAAAATGCATTAATGTTATTTAATTTGATGTGTTGTCGTGACGTCAAAGATATGCACAATTGTCTACCTCTAATTCTAAGTCTTATGTTAGATAACCTTTTATATGGCGCAGTCGTGTCTATCTTGTTGATCATATAGCTCTTTAACTGTTTCGGTTCTTATACATATTTGGCTTTCAATATTCGGCTTTTAAGCGTTTTTTATGAAGGTAAATCCAGGAAAGCGCTTCGAACGCATGAAATTTATAAAGTGGTGGTTTTATGTTTTTTGGTTCATTTTTACTAGAGAAGTGCAACCTTACGAAAATTAATTTTACTCGAATGAAAACAAGCAGTGTGATCAATCTTTCATTGTTTCAAAAATCGTAAAAAGGGCAAAATTTTCGTTTTCATGTAAGCGTTATAATTAATAAATTACATACACCTAAGACACACCAAGGAAAAACATTAGAAGAAGTGTATATTGTCCTTGTAACTATCGGCAATGAATATGATAGTAGTGATACATTTCAAAGAACTCCTTAAGTGTGACAAGCTGAAAAAATTTATTTCGGTAAAACTTTTTTTCTGTTTTGTAGAAAATACAACCACTACGTTTGCTATTAGAAACAGCATAACATACACTGCAACAACAACACCTGTACATTCGAAGGTAACTAGAGCAGGTAAGTGAATGATAGAACAGATTCCTTATTGATCTTGAATTATTCAAAGTTAAAATGAATTTTAGTGTATTAATTATCAATCTGGTTTTACGTTTAATGTAAACCTGATATTCGAAATGTAAATTTTAAGCAGACAATAGAGCGAAAGTTGGTCTGCAAGTCGGCACTGCAAAAGTATGAAAATGATTCTCTTCACAGAACACGATTTTCGGTAATTCAAATTTAATATAGACAAGCATTTGCGGGGATGCTTTGAGTTTGTACATGGTTGCGTAATGATTTATTTATTTAGTTCTATCTCAAAAGGTTGAATAATTGTACTTTTGACTTTGTGCATAATTACAAATGGGAAGAAAGTGCCTACGAAAATAAGAGTTTCAAAAATATACTTTTTCCATAACTAAAATGTACAGGTCAAAAGGCAAATTTCATCGGTTGACAAATGTCTATACAACTATCCTTAGATCACGCCAAAATATATTAGCTGTAAATATTTACAACAGAAACAAACAAGAAAGGGAACAATTTTGATAAAAATTAATGTCATGGAAATATCACGTCAAACACAGACGAGATTCCTAAACGGGGATATAGGTATAAAATATGAGCATACTACTTTTATGTGTATTCAAATTGCCACTGTTAGAAAGGTAAGTGACAAGTCACCATAAAATCCGCCTGTTGTATTTTAATCCTTTATTTACATTCACTCCTTTTATATACTACCAAAATAACCATTCATGGTAGAACGATACATACACGTAAAGAGTAGCAGAAAGTATACAAAATTCAGAAGTCAAAGGTCAGGATAAACACATATGCATGGACCCTTGTGGTATGACAAACTTTTTTGTACTTCGTTGCCCTGAAATTAGCTCCGTATGAAAATAATCACATTTAAATCATTAACGTGTAGTAATGCATGTGCCAATAATTATATAAAACTACTGCAAGTTAATGGTATCCATGACCATTAATCGTAGCTACACATAGACAAGTGTGTAATGATTAAATTCATTTTGTGTTGGTATAATCGTTTTTTCTAGAATACATACGGTTGTGTTGGTCTTGAATAATTTGGTTTTAAAATTGTATTCCCATTTTTGGCAAATATTTTTATAAGGTTTTCTTGTACATATTTCATTTCGTGTTAGAGGTAATATGAACCTGTTTCTTTAAAAAGATGTTGACGAGTATGAGTTTTGACTAATCATAACGTACTGAATACATGAAGTCAATATGGATTCGCTAAACCCCATCCAGACCCTCATTCATTCAATCACACTCATTTCGGTCCACACGTTATTTTAGGTGAAAGTATACATGCTCAAACATATATGTACATGTATGCTTCTTGCTTATTGCAACACATATTATAATTTCTTCTGCCTTTATATTTTAGAATGCGTTTTATGTCAATGTACGGTATAATAAAAGTATATTTTCATTACAGATAACTACGCCATGATAATTTGCAACTGCGTTCTATTTATGCTAGTACTTCTGGTCTGGGTTGTATTATACTTGAGGCATCATAGGTATACTTATATGATAAATCTTCATTATTAATTCATAACGTATGATTATAGGGATTTAGAATTTATAATTAAGACAACCTTAAAAAGAATCCGACAAAAACACAATTCTATAACTTTGGTAAAAGGACCTCCCATTGAATGTGGAGGTGATACATTTCATCCTATTATAGTGTGGGATTTGACGATATAATCGTGTTCGTAGACCGCTTAATATGTACTGTTTATGTCCCATAGATTATAATGCTCCCAAACATTAATTATTTTCATTTGGCTGCCTATATTTTAGTCTCAAATTACTTATTTATATAAACGTTAGTGTCAGTACCAAAATTAATATCATATGTTTGAAATGTACTAGTACTTAAATGTATTTGACACCTCTACATTTTCCAGATTTAAAGTCCACTGACAACCTTGTTGTAAAAATGTATAATTTTCAAGTTACTGTAACAGTTTTACAATTGCTATAGTTTATGGTTATTTACTTTAATAGTTACAAGTGCATTAATTGTTCCGATAAGATAAAGATGATCCATTTCTTCCTGTCTGTATATAATATTAGAGCAAAAACTAGAATTTAACCAACGAAAAATAGAACGAAATATATAAATGATTGACCATTATTAGAGAATTCGTAATAGTAAAAGTTCAATGATAAGTTAATATTGACATTAAAAGACCTTCGAACAAAAAGGGATGTTGAGATCCCCGCGCCTGAAGGGCGAGGGGATTTGAACAGCCCTTTTTGTAAGAAGGTCTTTTAATGTCAATATTAACTTAATCATTGAACTTTTACTGACTTACACACCATAAAAAACACAAGAAAAGTACGTAAAAAGCACTTGCAGAAGCCTACTTCCCATGAATTGGACGAGTTTAAATATATTCAATTTAAATAATAGTTAAACAGTACTCAGACTGATATATTCAAGTAACAGTTACCAAATTGCATTGGAAACGGACCGATTAAATGGCAGTACATCATTTAGTTATTTATTTATTATAATTTTTTAGCAACAAAATAACACCATAGGGTAGTTTTATAAAATTAAGGGAATAATTTATATTTTTGAATTCCAACTTTTTAAAATAACGATTTTTATTTTATAAATGAGTAAATCAAAACCCTATACATACCTCATTTGTAACTGACCAATGAATGTTCTACAAAAACTTCTTGTTATATATATTTGATGTTCTTAATCTGTCAGTAATCATGAAATAGATTCGTAAAGACCAGACCATATGAAAACAATAAGTAAACTCTTCCAACAACTATAGTTTTTTAAATAGCTTGCTTCAAAACTTCTATTCGAACAGACCTAGATGCATAAGGTCCTTCACAATATTCAGGTAAATGTTAATTTTGGTTTTGATTCTGTAATTTTCCTGTACTACGTTACATGCAAACGAAAAATAATTAGGGTAGTCTGTTCAGTCCAATTAATTAATCAATTTTGTTTTGTTTGTTTTTTTTTTTTATAAAAAACTATGCCTGTAAACCTAAATGAAACAAAATCGTATTACATAGCCTAAATGTAACACCTTCAGCATCAAGTTATGTTGGCTTGAGAGGCTCGACCAAAACGTGTATAGATGAGATATTTTCGCAAGGTTGATCATCATTCTTAAATTGAAATACAGTGTATTATATGAAAACAAATACTTTTTTTTAGTCGTCCACCATTTCCTTTTCACGTCTAAATGGAGCATAAACACCTTGAAAAAAAACTTTTACCTTGCTTAGTTTTATAATCGCGACATAATCATATATTATAATTATCAATTATTGGCTTTTTACGAGGTCGATACGTTATATATGGACTTGGTCAGATTATATTGACAGAGGACGAAGTCTGAGATTCAATATAATCTAACAGGTCCATATATAACGTATTGACTGAGTGAAAGTTCTTAAGTTATATATTACATATGTAAATAGTGTAAGTTTGAATTTGATATTGACTCGATGTTCATATTCTTTGGAAATTCTATTGACTCGATGTTACTATTCTTTGTAACATGGAGTCAATGTCATTTAAAAAAAGGAACGTCGAGTCAAAATAGTGAAAAAATACAAAAGATATAATGGGAAACACGTGAACAAATATACCAATGAGAAACAAGAAACATCAGACCATATGTAATATACCGTAATAAAACAGAAGATAAGAACCACAGTAAAAAAATATTAAAAAAAAATAATTATAAATTTTCAGTTATGTAGTAAATTGCAAAAATTGGCAAACAAAAAATACCATAACAAATTTTGCACCATTATTGAGTGATTTAAATGGGAATTTTACATTATAGCGATTTACAAGCTCTTCACGGTCTTCGTGTACTATGTACAATGAATAATTTATGAAGTTGATTGATTGTTGTTTGCCTAACGCCCAGTGGCAAATATTTCATGCATGTTCATGACGAGAACACATAAATTTTAAATACAACAAGTAGGTCTTGCAATAGGAGGTCGACAGTGAGGTTGGACGTGAAACTTGCAATATCACTGGAAAATGAGGATATATTGAATAAGGGCAGAAATTAGCCTTGCAACAGCTGGCCACATCCGAACCTCTCAAATAATTGGTACAAGATTTTTTAATTTGCAGAGAGCGTTGATCAATGAAATCTACTCTGAAGTCGGCCATCAGTATTTACAAGTAGTTTCCAATATCATTTAAGGCATCTAATTTAGGTTAGATACTTTTAGATCGCTTTAGTAACTGTGACAATTCTGTGAAACTGTATTGTTTATTGTACTTGAGTTTTTGGTATGATACTCTATACTACCGCTCGCCTCGTTGGTCTCGTTGGAGTGTGATCGCCTCGAGAGCAGGCGGTCGTTGGTTTGAACCCACATAGGGTCAAACAAAGACGTTAAAATTGGTATTTGTTGTTTCAACGCTAAACACGCGGCATTTAAGAGTAAGAGCACGGACTGGTCGGCTGTGAGTTAGAAATTTGTCCGGGTAGGATGACTTTTCTTCCTGTACTGTCCTGTCCTGAACTGTTAGCTTGTGAACTTACACGTTAACAGTCCGGCTCAGCGTGTCGTCTTGTACAAAGCAGGATTATATTCATATAACATTTACACGTTTTCGTCCTGAATATGCATTTAATTTGCCGCTGGACGTCATCTATTATCATCATTTATTTTACCGTTACTAAACAGTGAAATGTTTTTCTTCTACTGGTTTATATTACATCTTCTTTAATTTCCACCGATCAAAATTAAAAAAAGGGCAGGTTATATTTTTCAACCAAACACTTGTGCCAGTTGGGATATCTTTGACGGTAAATATTATTAAATTAACTCCGTATTTTCTAGTCATGGGGCGGTTTTGAGCTTATTATTCTGTATAGGCATCTTTCTATACAAAAGACCGTATATTGACTCTTAATGTTTTGATTTGTCTGTGTCGTTGAGTTGCCGTCGCATTAATGTATACCTTTATCTCCTTTTATTCAAAATCAAAGGATTGACTTGGATAAAGAAATATCCACCCTTGCTACAGGGGTGTGTCCGTTTGGCTGTTCGGATGTATAAATACGCACCTTTGTCCGGTCAAAATAGAAATGTCGTATATCCATTGCCTGGTGTAGTGAGAGTTTCACGCTATCTATACGTTAAAGAACCATTTGAATAACTCTTTGAGGGGGAAATACGATCTACGTACAAGTTATATGATTGAAATCTCTAAACAACAACAAAGATCAGCTAAATCTTCAAATAAGTCGCATGGCTGATTTTAACACATTGTTTGCGACTTTTGCAAGGGCAATTGTAGATAAAAAAAAAACTTAAAAATATCAAAACCGACCAGTAAGACAAAATCTAAAGAATAAATAAAACGGCCAAAATAAGTTGAATCCTTCTATAAATTGTTGCCAACATTTTTTTATTCATTTTTTGCTTTTATGACAATTTTGTCGCCTAGACGAGACTGCCGTCGTTGTACGCTTCAAGATATGAGTTTTTGCCACTCAATGAAGATTTTTTTCTGTTCTACTCCCTTCCTCCTAGTTTGGCTGGATAGGATACAATGTAACCCCTGATGTGGACATTCAATTATGTTATTTAATGTTAAAAAAAATTAAATGCAAAGAGAAAAATGAGGAGAATAATGATTAAACATCACTAAATGAAGCTGATTAATTGATTGCTCCCTTAATGTCCAGTCGCAAATATGTCATGCATATTCACGACGAGATGCAAAGTGGATCGCCATGACGCAAATGATAACAATTTTAGAGCGACACTTTAATAAGATAGAGCGTTGGCTAGAGGTAAAACGTATGCCATACTAGAATAAAAATGAACCATGATCAAAATCTTAAGTTAAGCTCTTACCCCTCCCCCTCCACTCAAATAACGTCTGATTATTGATCGCAGATAATCAACCAAAAGCTCTTGGATTCTCTGAAATTGTAAATTATGGTATTTCTCTGGCTGTTTTTTTTTCTGATCCTATTTCGGACCCCCTGATTCTAAGAGGGCGTGTCTAATTAGTCATGCCCGATTAACTTTTAGTAAATTGAACCTCAACTTTTGCTTTTTACTGGGATTTCTTGCTTTGTTTTCATGGTACAATAAATTACAAAATAAATGGACAGTTGATTAACCTGTCATGTATGCTTTTTATCCGTACTTATAAGATATGTTGTGAACTACTTATTTCTCCAAATCAATCAAATTTGGTGTTTTTTTAAGCACAAACGTGAAGTACACGAACAATTCAAAAAAAATGTTATTTAGAAATATGCAAGGCGGAGATATTATTTTTATAGTCTTGGGTTGCTTTTGTTTGTTTGCTAGCTGCAAAAAAACGTTCGATGGACATGTATACCATGTTGTTTGCTTTCAAACCCAACTGGCCGTGCAGTTTCAGAGCAGAAGTGATAAAAGGGAAATGTGTACGATGTTACAGAAATTACAGGCAATAACAATAAGGTATGACAACATTAAAAAAAATAAATTGAAGGCATCCCTCACCCCATCAATAGGAAAAGATTGATTAATTGATTGATTGTTGTATGAACTGCGTAAAGTCTAGAGACAACAAAAGGATCAGGAACTTAAAGACCTATACCGGGTTAATAAGTTTGAGGTTCAATAAGTAAACAAAAGAGATTCTTTATGAAATGAGATCGTCCCAGGTATCTTAGATAATTATTTTGCATTGAATAACAATAAAAATGCACGAACAGGTTTGTTAGATGTCAAATAATTTACTTTTGGTAGTATTAATAAAAACTTCCAATCAGACAGTGCTGTCCTGGCTTTTATGGTTCTTTTTTTGTAAACCTCTTAAATATTTGAAAGTTAATTCCGTGCAAAACACTAACAATGCTTAATTTCCTAATTTGTTAGGCAAAGAAAACAAGTTTCTAAGCGCAATAAGAGGACATCATCCACCAGGCAGGAACAGACGTCATCCACTAGACAGGTACAGACGTCATCAACCAGCCAGTCACCAAGGATATCAAATTACGAACAAATAAGTGAAGTTACCATTTCACGTCCATTTCATATTACCAACGAAACGTATAGTGACGCATGTGTTTTTTAAGACTGATGTTTCACGTACATTTACATGCACATCCTTTTTACACAATGCATTTAGAGTAAAATAATATTTGTCATATGTGTCTGTGCTACATACAATATGAGATGTATTTGACTATTTTCAAAACGAGTCTCATTGGCAAAATATAATTTCATACTGTTGATATTTCAGACATCATGCTCCAAGTCATTCATCTTCGTACATGTGTATATATAATAGGGGGTCACGTAAGGTAAATCATGAAATATCAACCGAAATTTTGAGCTAGTTTTGTTTTCATGGTAGAATGAATTACAAAATAAATGGTTGGTTGACGTTTCATGTAAGTGCGGCCAGCATATGCAATTACTGAAAATAACAATTATACCATCAATAGAGCTACAGAAACGATATCACAATAATTTTGTATTCTACTTATACAATATTTCTAACTGGTAACACTTCTTTGTGTAAGCTTATATTCTAAAGTAAGCCAGGTTGAGATCGTCTTATATCGGTTGCATGTGATAATCTGTTGCAATGATGAAATATTCTGTAAAACACTACTGTTGTATATTTATTACACACTGTTTAGGAATCAATGTATCTAATCTGCACGAAAAGACGAAAATTGAATATGTTAACTAGTAAGGCATTGCTTTATATGATTTATGATACTCACGGGCGATGACAATTTCAATCATTATAATTGTACATGGGATAATAATTATTGTTATTTATTTATGCCTTTTATCAGTATTTAAAAGGTATGTTGTGAACTATTTTTTTCACCAAATCAATCAAGTTTGTGTTTTTTTAAGCATAATCGTTTGCACGAAGTACACGAACAATGCAAAAAAAATGTTAATTAGAAATTTGCAAGCCGGAGCTATTATTTCTATAGTCTTGGGTTGCTTTTGCTTTCATATGACATGGGTTGCTTTTATTCAAAATGAAAGCATATAACGAAAGCAAATTATTCGGTTGCAGAACCCCCCGCCCCGCCAAAAAAAAAGTATTTGTATGAATTGAAATATATCAAATTGAAAGTGTTATCTCCCAGAAAATTCTTGAGAGGTAGCTGCAAAAACTCGTTCGATGGACATGTATACCATGTTGCTTGCTTTCAAACCCAACTGACCGTGCAGTTTCAGAGTAGTAGGGATAAAAGGGAAATGTGTACGATGTTACAGAAAGGACATGTAATAACAATAAGATAATGAAATCATTAGAAAAATTATTTTGAATGCATTTCCTCGTCCCATTAATAGGAAAATATTGACTAATTGATTGATTGTTGTATCAACTGCGTAAAGTCTAGTGACAACTACTTAAAGCATACACAGTTCACAGAGAAAGACCGTTAACTGAACGAAAAGACAGAACATCCAGTGGCTTATATTTCTAAAATATTAATTTTAAAAAAAGCAGGTACCCCACTAAAACACCAAAAAGGATACTGGAAAAAGGAGGGAAAAATAAAATCAGTATTCATAATTAGTATAGTGCTTGTATAACTACTTTTTCCTACAAAAAATATTCTATGCGCACATTCGAGTACTTGTTTTTTTTAATGCAAATTGGTTTCAGTGATAGCTGTTTCTAATTGGTCATTTAAATGCAAAACCACCAAAGAGCTATGTACAACCCAAAATTAATTATCTAAATTGATGAAGAAGAATTCAAAATACTAGAAACGTTTTAGATTATAATATCATATTTATATGTACCATCTGTGGGATAAAACACAGTAAAGATCAACAAGTGTATAGCGATATAAACTCTTCCTACTGATGTTATTCTACGTGAAGGCATAAAGGTAAGTCCTTGTTTCCTCCATATTCAACAAACCTATAGGGAGGCTGAGCTAAGTTTGCTGTTAATATACAAGTTGAGCAAAATGCCATTTATTCAAAATTTGTCATTAATTGAGAATGACATATTAACAATATTAATAGTAGCAAATAAATGACAATGACATTAAAAATTAAAGGTGGGGTTTAGAAAATGCCAAAAATCCCCTAAGGGGATCCCCACCCGAGGACTTCCTGTCCAGAACTGGGGAAGACAAATATGACTTGTTCATAATTGTACGGTATATTAATCTTGGGAAAATGCCATTTATGACAACCAAAATGCAGAGCAAGCCATGTTGACTTCTACAGTCTATATAGACAAAAATACATGTGAAAATAAAAACAAATAGTTAATAATAGTCATTTGAAAATGTTCACTTAAAAATTCTAAAATATAAAAAGAAAAAACAAACAAATAACAGTATTTCACAAAACACAATGTATTGGGCATGTTGAATGAAAAACAAATGTAGAGCAAGACATGTTGACCTCTACCCAAATATACTTAAATGTACGAACAACTGTAGAGCAAACCATATTGACCTCTACTAGTTAGTCTAGAATGTTCGACAAAATAAAAACAAATATTTACTACCAAGAGGAAAGAAGGTTATTTACTTACATACAAAAATTATTAAGTCTTATGTAATGCTGAAAGGCATTAGACTTCCATCTACCCATGTTTTGAATCATAGCTAAGGACACTCCTCTAGCAGCTGCTGAAGTTGCAGCCCCAATTCTAAAACTGTGACCCTTATAAAGATTTGCACCCAAACCAGCAAACAATAATAAACTTTTTAAAGAGGAATTAAAGCGAAATGATGAAACAGGCTTCCAACACTGAAATCTAAATAGAGGACCTAGTGCATGATTTGACAACCGTAAATACTCCAAAATAGGAGTTACAGGACAAGATATATTTCCTTTAACCATAGGAATTGATAAAGTCTTTTGTTGCATATTACTGTGTTTGTAATGTTTCAAAACAACTGTCATATGACTTGTGTTATTGTCCACTTGTTCAAAACTCACATCTGATCTCTGAATGACTTTAAATAATTCTTTATCACTTGTAATGGCTATTTCTCCAATCAGTAAGAAGCAGAAATATATCAATGACATCATAGCTTTCAAAAGAAATTGATTATAATATCCTACTATCACTTTTGGAATAAATTGAATTAATTTCTAAAGAATATCGTAGGTTATAGGCAACGTTGTATCAACTGAACTACGTAAGTGTTTGAAACCTTTTAGCATTTTTTTTTACAAAAAAAGGTATCTGTCGGGTCTTGTAAAAATCACATGGCTTATAGCAGAAATGTATGAAGCAATCGTAAAGGGTTGATAATTTTTAATAAAAAGATACGAAATAAAATTAGCGAGCATGACATGAGTAGATGGAAGTAATTGACTACTAGGAAAAATGTTTGTACAAAACTCTTGATACGCATTTAACATTCTATTATATGATGAAACTGTATTTGAAGATAAGGATGCAGTAATGAATTGATCAGTTACAGATTAAAAAATTGAGGTGGAATGTACATAGAAAAAGAATTTAGCCATGTAGCTATCCGATGAACTTTCTGAAAAGAAAAACGTGACAACAGGTCACAAATTACATTGATCTTTCCAGGAATATGTTTAGCTCGAAAATGAATATTGTATTTTAAAGCAGCTAGCACCGATCTACGGACCAATTTCATAATATTCTTTTCTTTTGAAGATGTTTTATTTATAATTGCAGCAACCACTGCATTATCGGTTAAAAACAAAATTTTATGGTTGGCTAAAAAAGCACCCCAAATATCAATTGCCAAAACAATCGGGAAAGCTCTTTTATTGTAATGGGCAAATTTCCTATCTCCTGTGGCCATTCACCTGCAAACCATTTACTGCCAAAAACAGCAGCAAACCCATCATGTGTCCCAGCAGCATCTTAATAAACATCTGAGGAAACCCATTCGTTATATAAAAAACATGATTTACCATTAAAATCCTTAATAAAAATATCCCATAATTTAAGATCTTATCTTGCCTCAGAATTTAACTTTATTCTATAATGTGGAGATGTATGACCTATAGTCAAATCAAAAAATCTGCGAAAGAAAGCTCTACCTGGAATAATAACCCCGCAGACAAAATTCAAAAGACCCGATAATGACTGTAACTCGCTTAGAGTTACACTACGTTTACATTTGTATTTACTGAGTAATAGTGAATTTTTTGATTTTTTTCCTCAGGTAAACGAGCAACCATCTATACGGAATCAATTTCAATTCCATATATTATAAGACAGGTTGTTGGGAGTTTTTTTAATTGTTATGGGAACCCCCACCTTCTCTGCAAGGCACATAAAAGTGTGCAATGATGTCAAACAATTATTAGTACCAGATTTTCCTACAAAGAAAAAATCATCAAGCAAGTAAGATACCCCATGAATGTGAAATTTCTCTTTAAAAATCCATTGAAGTGCCGTGGAAAAAGCTTCTAATAACTGACAGGACGAGGATGGCCCCATTGGTAGGGATGCATCATTATATCTAACCAATTTACCCTACTGTGACACAACCATATAGAGTAATAAACCATTAAGTATGTTCCTCTGCTTGAACTAAAGTCAATACACATGTATGTACATGTACAATGATTAAATAGTTAATCCACATGTAAAACATATCATGTAACTGAACCATGTAACAATAACAAGACAATAGTAATGTCAACCATTCTTGTGTCACAACCATAATAAACCAAAGCAAGACAGAAGAAACATATATTAAATTAAGTAGTAATGGAGTACTATATTTTCTGTATATAACCATAATATTTAGATATAGGAAGATGTGGTATGAGTGCCAATGAGACAACTCTCCATCCAAGTTATAATTTATAAAAGTAAACCATTATAGGTCAAGGTACGGCCTTCAACACTTTGTCTAGTTACCACATGACAAGACTCTACATATCATTTTTTTGTATAGTAGATAATTGCATCAATATCAACATAAAAGTGATAAAAGAAATATTTAACTTCGAGCTGGACTACCAACAGCTGCACGAACACTCTTTGCATATTTGTCTACGCCTGTAGCATTTAAATGTACCTTGTCATTTGAAAACAGTGCTAAAGTGTTTTTCCAAAACCCCCTGTGCTGCCAGTAGCTAATATCGCAACGTTGATATACATTTTTTCGTAACTCTTTGTTCACCTCTATAACCTTGTTATTATAGTTGTCTTCCGGTCCCCCGGTGTACCTCGGCAGCAACTGGCCTATAATCACGTGACGAACATGATAGCATTTGATTATGTAATCGGCAAAAACCATTATATCTCTCGCTAATCTAGCGGGATTTGATTCAGCGGATAAATCATTGCCGCCGATTTGAGGAAAAACACAATGAGTCTTATAATCATCAATAATTTTGATAAGTTATTGCCGTTGAACACATTTTGGACCCAGACGAAGCGTACTTCAACCCAAACCGAAATACTCGACTTGAATGTTTGTACCATCAAAACCCAAATTAAACCATCCCTGATAGCTATTTCTAAACACAAATGATTCCAATCTATGAATAAACGAGTGACCAAAAATTAATGCACGCCGGATCATGGTTCAAAGGCAAAAATTGAAATGAATAAGGTTCGCTTTTACCTGAAATATAGCTGTACTTTCAATAAAGATGGACCTTCCTTTCACAAGTAGTTGGAAATCTGATCTGGAAATGTCTTTAAATGCAGTCGACTCTCTGAATCTCAAATACTAATCTGCATACAATAAGTAGTAAACCTCTTTTTGCAACAAGTTACAACCTCACAATTTCAGCTTCAGCTATACACAGCGATCATCCTTTCTTGCAAAAAGTTACAAAATATTTTCTAAGCTTCAAATAAACGATGTTTTTTCTTTGAGAGAATTTAGCTGAATGACTG